AAAAAAAAAAAAAAAAACCAAAAAGGCATGCCATTTTCCAGCTTGGCCACTTATAGGATATCCTAATTTTGGGGGTAGCTTTATATTTTCATCAGTAAGGTGGTCTGAGATAAAGCTACTTGTGGAAAATGCAAACTCCTTAAAAGGCAAACCTTCTGTGACACTGGCCATGATCCCCAAAAGGGAAACATGTGAGTAATGAAGTGAAGTGTTGCTTGTAAATGGGACTAGCTTTCTTTAAGGCACCATGGGGAATGAAGAAAAAGATCTTTTTTTGTATCTTGTTTTTGGAAGTGGGAAAAACCCTTGGGGAAATAATCCGAAACTATGTCCCCCTTTACTAGCATGGGCTTTCTTAGTCCCTCTGTAATCTTAGAGAAACTGCTGGAACTCTTACATTCTATCCAACAGAATCCCCAAGAGAGTTGGTTTTTGATAAACTTTCTATTTTAGAATAGTTTTAGATTTACAGAAAAGTTAAAAGCATAGTACAGAGAGTTCCCGTGTACCCCTCACCGGGTTCCCCCACGTTAACATCTTCCTTCACCACGTGCATCTGTCACAGCCCAGAAACTAACTTGGGTACGTAACTATTAACCAAACTCCAGACTTTAATTGGATTTCACCAGTGTTTCCATTATCGTCCTCTTTCCGTTCCAGGACCCCATCCGGGGTAGCACATTGCTTTCGTTGTCATGTGCTTCCGGTCTGCTCTGGTCTGTGATGATTTCCCTGTTTTCTATGACCTTGACAGCTTTGAGGAGTACTGGCCAGGTCTCCTGTAGAAAGACCCCCAATCTGAGTTTGTCTGGGGTTTTTCTCAGGATTATGTTGGGGTTATGAGTTTTGAGAAAGAAGACCACAGAGGTGAAGTGCCTTCTTATCACGTCATGTCAGGGGATACGTGATGTCCACATGACATCAGTAGTGATGTTGACCTAACCACTTGGTTAAAGTGTTTGCCACGTTTCTCCACTGTAAGTTGCTCCTTTTCTCTTCCGCTACACTATACTTTGAGAGTGAGTCAATTATAGCCCACCTTCAGGAGAGTGGGGTATGGGTGGGAATTAAGCTCTACCTCCTGGAGGGAGGAGTATCTACATATCTATGTATATTGCTTGGAATTGTGCATAGAAGATTAGTCTCTTCTCCCGTACTTATTTATGTATTCAATCATTTATTCATATCAGTGTGAACTCATGGATATTTTATTCTCTGGGTTATAATCCAATTCTAAGTTATGTATTTTGTTGCTCAGATCTTTCCAGCCTTGGCCGTTGTAAACTCCTTCTTGTTGACTCCTGTGCCCCTTTAACATGCCCCCATCCTTTTGTTTTTTGAGCACTTCCTGGTACTAAAAGATGCTCCAGGCTCATCTTGTATTTTCCCTCCCCCAACCCCAGAATCAGCCATTTCTCTAAGGAGCCCCCCACTTCTCTAGGGACTTTTTAAAAAATCTAGGCTCCTGGATTTCACGCTAGACCTACTGAGTCGATCTCTGGGGCCAGGTCTAAGTACCAGCATTTTCACAAGTTCCTTTGGCTGCTGTGCCGCAGTGAGTTTGTTGGGTGGTACTTGGGAGCCGCTGACTTACACATCATGAAGTGAAAACCAAACCATCACCCAATGAAGTGAAAACCAAACCAAACCCATTGCCGTTGAGTCGATTACAACTCATAGCGACCCTGTAGGACAGAATAGAGCTGCCCTGTAGGGTTTCCAAGGCTGTAATCTTTATGGAAGCTGTCATGGATTGTATCCCCCAAAATATGTGTCAACTTGGCTAGGCCATGATTCCCAGTATTGTGTGATTGTCCACCATTTTGTCATCTGATGTGATTTTCCTATGTGATGTAAATCCTACCTCTATGATGTTAATCAGGCGGGATTAGAGGCAATTATGTTAATGAGGCAGGACTCAATCTACGGGATTAGATTGTGTTTTAAGTCAGTCTCTTTTGAGATATAAAAGAGAGAAGCAGCAGAGAGACAGGGGGACCTCCTACCACCAAGAATGAAGAACCCGGGGAGGGGAGGGCATCTTTTGGGCTTGGGGTCCCTGAGCTGAGAGGCTTCTCGCCCGGTGAAGACTGATGACAAAGACCTTCCTTCAGAGCCAACAGAGAGAGAGCCTTGCCCTAGAGCTGGCACCCTGAATTCAGACTTCTAGCCTCCTAAGCTGTGAGAGAATAAATTTCTGTTTGTTAAAGCTGTCCACTTGTAGTATTTCTGTTATAGCAGCACTAGATAACTAAGACAGAAGTGAACTGCCACATCTTTCTCCTGTGGAGCAGCTGGTGGGTTCGAACCACTGACCTTTCAGTTTGCAGCTAAGCGCTTAACCACTGCGCCACCAGAGCTCCTTTCCTGAAGGTGAAGGAGGCCGGAATAGGCCAAATGATAGAGATAAGCTGGGGATTAATGTGAACGGCATTGTAGGCAAACCAGCTTCCAGAATTAGAGCTGGAAAAGATTTCAGGGATCTTTTCTAGGCTGTATTTATTCATTTATTCACCCTTGCATGGATTCAGACAAATTCCACAGCACTGAGCAAGTGCCGTACCCAGGATCCTGCCACTGTGGAGCTGACAGGCGAGGGGCGAGAGACGCCCAAAACCACGTCGACCAGCAGACACAAGTCACTGCAGGGATTCCTTCTGAGTCTCCCAAAAAGGAAGTTTGTGGTCTTAGCCTGGATACAGAGAACGCCTAACTAGAAACATTGTTCTCCTTCTTTAAAGAAAGGCGTTAGGGCCTTTGTTTCTTTTTCAAGATTAAAAGAAGCAACGTGCCTCGGAGGCTGCAGGCAGATAGGTGCTCTATTCGGAGCGAGAAAGGTACACAAACACACCTGGAGACTGGCTAGGGGCCACGACACATCAGCACCTTCGTGTTTCCTCCCAGTTCTTTTTCCCCATCTGTGGAAACTACAAAAACTTGACAGTTTGGAAACAAAAACTCTTTAATATTCAGTATTATCTCACCCCTTTGCAGAGAATTCCAGTTTGTTTTTAAACCTTGAAAGATGAGAAGAGCAAAGGGAAGAGGCTAGTAAGTACCTTCATTTCCTGTGGCTGCCGTTAGAGACTAGGTGGCATATAACAGCAGAATGTATTCTCTCCCAGCTCGGGAGCCAGAAGTCTGAAGTCAGGGCGTGGGCAGGACCGTGCTCTCCGGAAGGCTCTAGGGGAGAATCTGTTCCATGCCTTTCTCCTCACTTGTGGTGTTGCCAGCATTCCTTGGTGCTCCGCGGCTGTGGATGTATCACTCCAGTCCCTGCCTCTGTCTTCACACGGCCTTCTTTCCCGTGTGTCTGTGTATCTCTTACAAGGACACCAGTTGGATTGGATTGGGGCCCACCCTAATCTGATGTGACCTCGTCTTTACTTGATTATACATCTTCAAAGACCCTATTTCCATACAAAGTCACAGACATGGTACTGGGGCTTAGGACTTTTAACATATCTTTTTGGGGGACACAATTCAACCCATAACAGTAAAGAAAATAAGGAAATAAAGCCTTCAGTGGAAAAATGCGGCTTGTCAAGATTACATAGATGAGTGTGCAGTCATTTAAAGCTTGGGGGGGATGCATTTTAGCGGTGATGGAAGATGGCATTGTGGGATGGATAGTGTGGAAGCCGAGGGCATGCAGGTGGTGTGATCTAGCTCCTCTGCGGATGCTTCCAGGGTGGGGGGCCTTCACACATGTGCCCTGTGTGTAACCAGAGGACGAATTGCCACGCATGGAAAGCAAACCGCTGACTCTCCTGTTCTCTCCCCAGCTTTTTCCTGGAGAAGAACATGTTTGTTTTCTTCTTGAACATCCTGCGGCAGAAATCGGGTCGCTACGTGTGTGTTCAGCTGCTGCAAACCTTGAACATCCTCTTTGAGAATATCAGTCACGAGACCTCGCTCTGTAAGCACACGTTCCTTGACCTTGACCCTGAGCTGCTGTGCGTCTGCAGCGTGTAGTTTTGCATCGTGTTCGTGTTGGTTTTTGAATGTGTGTTTACTGCGTTCATCTCTGCGTGGTGGGCACTGTGAAGGGCTAAGAGAGGGCTCCCCTCTTCTGAGTGCTTTCTGGGAGTGTTTGTATTTCTTTCTGATAACTTATTAAAGAAGTGGGGTCCCTGCATAGTCAGCCAATGGAATAAGCATTAGAAGAAGCAGGATAAGGAAGAACTTGCCCAAAAAACATACAAATGGCATGAGCTTTGGCGGCTGACACCCCTGGTTCAGACCCAGCTCCCCGACTCGTGAGGGCGTGACTTGAGCTTATCACTGGCCTGCACTGAGCCCCAGTTTCTTCATTTGTAACAACTACCCTGAGAGGCAGGTGCTGTTGGACCCTCATTATAACACTGAGTCTGAGTCACTGCCCCCTGGTTACAGGCAAGATGAGAATAGAGAAAGGCTTTCGGCTCCAGTGAGTTTAGCTCAGTGGTTCTCAACTCGGGGGCAATGGTACCCGCCCCCCCTCACCGGGGACATGTGGCATTTGTGGAAACAATGTCACTATCTGGTGACGGGCATACTACTGGCATCTGGTGGGTAGAGGCCAGAGATGCTGCTAAACATCCTACAATGCACAAGACAGCCCCCACATCAAAGAATTTTCTAGTCCAAAATGCCAGTAGCCCTGACATTGAGAAACTCTGGTTTAGCTCCTTATCCTCTGTGCTCGACCACTAGCTTTATTTCAAGATGATTAAAGCAAGCCCCAGGCCTTACCTGTAAGAAGTAGGAAGGAGAAGACAAGTGGCCGAATGGCAATATCAAAGGCAGGTGTGAATAAAAGATCCTGATGGGCAGAGGTAGAGGTGGTGGCATTCCTCCTGAGGGCCAGAGGGGAGGGGGCAAGAGCTGCTGAACTGTGGCTCTTGGAAGTAGCCACTAGGTGGTGGTGCTGTCTCAGGAGCTGTCTCTTACAATGCCTGACGAATAGGGATTGATGCGTGTTCTCCCATGGTTTCCCTTGTTATCAGCGTCTTGTTACGCTGGATCCGAAAGAGCGCAGTTTCTGAAAACTCAGACCAGACTGAGTCCACGGCCAGTTCTACCATGTGCTCCCCATGTGTGCTCCAGGTAGTTAGTTCTCTAGTCTGCAGCTTCTGTATCTGTAAAGTGGAGAACATACTAGTACACTGGGTTAGAGTTGTTTGAGGATTCCGTGTGATAGCACGTGTGCAGAGTTAGCACTGGGCCTGGCAGATGGGAATATTCAGTAGCGTTAATTACTTAAAATTAAACATCCAACATTCCCCCACATGTCTGCTCTCTGGTAACCTTTTCGGAGCTCAGCAAAGCTCAGGGCTACTGGATTAAAGATGGGGTCTGGAGTGATAAAAACGGCTTTTGGAGGATGTTTCTGGATCGCATGACTTTTCTTGGACTGAAAACTGTGCCCTGCCACAAGAAGCAGAGGCAGATGCCACTGGCTTCCTGGAGGATTCACCAGAGCGCTTTTCTAACCCCTGCCAAAGCAGCCGCAGGCGCTGACTGTTTACAAAACTCGGATGTGCAGGGGATGAGAAGGAAGGATAGATAACCTTTGTTTCTAGCTTTATTTTCTAATCATAGTCCTCATTGTAAAAAACAAAACAAAACAACAACAAAACCAAAAAATCAAACATTATTAAAATACAGAAAGTAAAAGTTCCTCTTGCTCTCCCCTTAGCAGTTCAGTGTACACGGACGTTTGTGCAGATGGCTTTATTTTATTTTTTCCCAACCTGTATCTTAGGTCTATTCATTGTCTGTTATGTGTCTCTGCCTAGGTTGGTTTAAGAGCTGCATCTGGCTGTCCCTCCATTTTTTTAGCCTGACCGATGGGCATTTAGGTGGTTTCCAGTTTTTCATTATTACAAGTCGCCTTTTCATGAATGCACCTGCTGTCTGTTGGGTTTGGTGACCTAGGTGACAGAAGGCCCAAGAGACTGAGGTAACTTACAGACTCCTGGGTTTATTATAAAAGGATACCACAGGAAGTCAGCCACACAGTGAGGGGGTAGTAGAAAAATCCCAGCCGAATAATAGAGGCACTCCGCGGCCCCCAGGGTGCTTGCACCACCCACAGAGTCCTCTCTTGGAGGCCCTGGAAAAGTCCCCTGTGGGGAGTGGATGGAACTTAGGGCCGCTCCAGCTCCACAGTGCAGCTGGGGGCTCACATTCACAGGCCCAGAGCGGCAGCAGCCAGCATGAGCGCTTGTGTGTCTGGTGCACAGAAGGCACTTGCCAGTCATAGCCGGGCTCAACAAAACATCCCACCAGTCCCTTCCACCAGCCCACTTGTCCCCAAGCATAGCCAGAATGGTATAGAATGGGGAAACAAGGTTGTCTAGGCACCGGAATCACCTGGGCTGCTTGTTACCAGTTAAGATTCTAGGTGCATAAATAAATTGTGGACGATTCAAAGAATGCAGTACTACCTAGCCAAAAAAAAGGAGTGAACTACTACCACTAAACACAGCAAAATGGGTAACTCTCAGACATGGTGATGAGTGGCAGAAGCCAGACCAGAAGCAAGCATATTGTACGACGGCATTTATGTGAACTTCAAGAACAGGCACAACGAATCTAGGTGACAGAGTCAGGGTAGAGTTGCCTGTGGAGTGGGGGCATTGACTGGGTAGAGGCATGAAGGAGCCTTCTGGGGAGCTGGAAACGCACTGTGTCCAATCTGGGTGGGGCTTACACAGTGTGTGGATGGGAAAATCCATCACACTGCACACTTAAGATTCGTGAGACAGATGTGTATGTATATGTATGCATGTGTGTACTTAAGATATAGGTATATTTTCGCATATATCAAGCTGACCCTCTACCAAGTATGATGTCCTTCTCCAGGGACTGGTCCCTTCTGATAACATGTCCAAAGTACGTGAGATGAAGTCTCGCCATCCTTGCTTCTAAGGAGCATTCTGGCTGTACTTCTCCCAAGACAGATTTGTTTGTTCTTCTGGCAGTCCATGGAATATTCAGTATTCTTCACCAGCACTATAATTCAAAGGCATCTATTCTTCGGTCTTCCTTATTCATTGTCCAGCTTTCGCATGCATATGAGGCGTTTGAAAATACCATGGTTTGGGTCAGGCACACCTTAGTCCTCAAGGTGACATCTTTGCTTTTTAACACTTTAAGCAGGCCTTTTGCAGCAGATTTGTCCAATGGTCATCTAGTAGCCAGCAGATGCAGCATTAAGCTCTGTTTTCCAGCTTCCCTTGCCTGGTTGAAACTCTTGCCCCACAGGTCTTGCGTTTCCCCAGGGCTGCTCTCCAGTTGGCCTCAGTGACCCAGGCCCTCACCACCCACTTTTTATTGTTGACCCCCGTTGGTGACATCAGGCCTGAGTTCGATTTCTGTCTCTGCCACTTACTTTCGCTGTGTCCTTGGGCAAGTTATTCAACCACTCTGAGCTCTTTTTACTCACCTCCAAAATAGGAAGAATGTGAACTATGCTGCAGTATCATCATGACAATGAATTACAGTGGGAAGCCCTTGGCCCAGCGCCACCGCCGCTGTATCGTAGGGCTCAGCATAGGGGGGCCTGTGTGAAATGTTGCTATATAAGGAGAGAGGAAACATGTGTGGCCCATTTTGGCATTCAGGGATGATGATGTGATTTTTTGTGGCAAAATGGGGCGGCTTTTTATAGAACAGTGCTTTTTACCCTCATCTGTGGGTGGTTTATGAACATGCCCACGTACCCGCTAACCTCCCCACCCTGGCTCTGTGTTGAATGTTGCCAACAATGAAACCAAAACGTTCAAGTGTTTTTTCTGTTTGGTGGCGGCTGGGGGGCCTTTCTCTGGTATTGCCTTTGAACTACCTAGTGACTATGTATAGATGATTTCTTTTCTGGGTAAAGAGGAAGCTGCTCTCTGTTAGCTGGTTTAATCCCAACAGCCCAGGAGCCCAGTTGGTTCAGAATCATTAATATGGTCATCTACTTGTTATCTAACGTTCTTTGCCTATCTTTATGGCCACCATGAGTTAACCTGTCTGTTTTGCTTTTTTCTCCCTCCTTCTAGATTATTTACTCTCTAATAATTACGTAAATTCTATCATTGTCCATAAGTTTGACTTTTCCGACGAGGAGATTATGGCATATTATATATCGTTCCTGAAAACACTTTCGTTAAAACTCAACAACCACACTGTCCATTTCTTTTACAATGAGGTGAGTAACTGCCGAGGGGGGGGGGCACCCTGGGGGGTGAAGCTCGCCAGCCGTAGCAGCACCGTGTAGGGTCTGGGCAGCCTTGTGTCGTTGACGAAGCCATTATGTGTCTGCTATTGCATGATTTTCTCAGCAACGCTGGTTGGCATGCTTACAGTTTTTTTTTTTTTTTTTTAGTTTGACAAATTACCTCTCCATTTTTAATGTAACATTCAATTTGTGCCACCTGAGAGCAAGGAGAAGAAATGCCTGGACTTTTTGACTTGGGATAGTGTTGGAAAAACAGTGGGAAGAACAGGAACTTTTTTTCTTTGTGGGAAGAACAGGAACTTGAGTCAGGCCCAGCTTTGCTACTTCCCTGCTGTGTGACCCTAGGGAAGTCCCGGTTCCTCTCTGAGCCTCAGCTTCCTCATCTGGAAAATGCGGGATACTAATACAGTACAACCTGTGAAAGCCGGGACCCGTGTAAGGCGGAAACCTGTCCGAGAAGGACAACTCAAATATTTTCCACTAAAATGAGCAATAGAAAAGTGGTAAGACTGCACCCTGTCAAAGGGGGAAAAGTTGTGAGACCCAGAAAAACAAGGCAGTCCTACTGAGTTCCTGCTCTCACAGGTTTCACTGTGTATACCTTGCAGGATTTTTCAGTGATTGAATGACATGAGATGGTGTTCTCAAAGCACCTTGTGTCTGCCTGCCTCCTGAAATGTAGCCATCGCTATCCTTTGCATGCTTATGTCCCTGGTGTTCCTTAGGAGAATTATTAACCGCTTAAATGAATGGCTGCTGCTTTCACCCTGGAATGCACCAGACAGTTCAGAGGAGCTTAAGCAATGAGACCAGTTTATTTCACATACCAAAAAGTACCTCTGCCGGCTGTCCTGGGCTGGTTCATCCTGTGGCTCAACCCACACCATCAAGGACCTGGACTTTCCCATCTTCTTGTTCTCCTCACCATACAGTTGGCATCTTCCTCAGGCTCAACCCCACATGGTCTCAGGATGGCTGCAGCAGCTCCAAACACCACATACTCACATGCCACCACCGAAAAGCCTGAGGAGATCATTTCCCTTCCTGTGTCCCTTTTTAACTTCCAAACAACTTTCCCGGAAGCCTCCCAGCAGACTTCCTGTCATGTCTCCCTGGTCTGAATCCCCTCACCTTTGTCTCTCAGTGTGTCAGGAACTTGGGAGCGGCTTGGCAGGGAAAACCTAGCTTGGTCTTTCATGAGGCTGTAGTTATCTGAGGCTGGGCCAGGGTTGAAGGATCTCCTCCCTCACATGGCTGGCCAGCTGCGGGGAGCCCTCAGTTCCTTTTGCGTGGGTATCTCTGTGGGGCTGCTTGAGTGACTCGTGACTCACAGCACGGTGCAGGCTTCCCTCCAAGTGGGTGATCCAAGAGACCTGGGCAGGCTGCAGTGTCTTTCATTACCTAGCCTCAGAAGTCAGGCACCATCACTTCCTCCATATTCTTTTGGTCACATAGGCTAGCCCTCATTCAGTGCAGGAGAGGACGACACAGTGCGTGCGTACAGAAGGTGAGGCTCGCTGGGGCCCTTTTGGAGGCCAGCTAGCATGCAGCCATGTGGTATTTGTGGGCCAGTGTCTTCTTCAGGTTAGCAGTCACGTAGGCTGGGCAGTCAGACTGTATTCCCACACGTATTCTCCGAGTTTGGGCCTAATCCATCCCGATAGGATGTGGCAGCAGTACCCTGGTCCTCTGAAGAAATATTAGCCACAAAATGTGTGGCCATTTTTAAAATTAATATCGCGTGGCCCAGTATGTGGCACATTGTAGGTGCTCAGTAGTTATGTCCAGGAAACAAATGAGTGATTTGTTCCCAAGGCTCTCCTGGGTGGAAGAAAACCCACCTGTGAGGTAGAGATCAGAGAGATGGCTGGGTTCTCCCTCCACTCACGTGTGGCCGGGCTTGTGTGCACCCAGCGGGGGGTGGGCGCCGGGGTTCCGTGTACCCGGTGGGGAGGCAGGCATAGGGGTTCTGTGTACCTGGCAGGGGGTGGGGCAGGCACAGGGGTTCCGTGCACCTGGCAGGGGCGCAGACGCTGGGGTTCTGGGGCCAGAGTGATGCTTCTGGAAGAACATCCTGCTGTCATCAGAGGAGTGTAGGGCACCTCATTTTTGAGGTGGGCTTGGTTTCCTCTTTTATGTGGGCTAGTATAGTAGCTACCACTTGTTAAGTGCGTACTTGACTTTTAGTAGTCAAGGTGGCGTTGTCCGCATTGGACAGTTGTCACTTTGAGCCTCTACTTCCCCGTAGCCAGTATCTTAGTCACCTAGTGTTGCCATAGACAGAAACACCACCAGTGTGTGGCTTTAAAGGACAGAAGTTTATTCCCTCACAGCTCTAGAGGCTGAAAGTCCAAATCCGGGTCTCGGCCCTGTAGATACCTTCTGTGGCCTCTCTCCTGGATTCTGGTGTCTGCCTGCAATCTTTGATGTTCCTTTGCTTATAGATGGGCCCTCACTGACATCTTAGTTATCTAGTGCTGCTGTAACACAAGTGGATGGCTTTAACAAACAGAAATTCTCTCACAGTCTAGGAGGCTAGAAGTCCGAATTCAGGGTGCCAGCTCCAGGAGAAGGCTTTCTCTGTCAGCTCTGGGGGAAGGGCCTTGTCATCAGTCCTCCCCCCACCCCATCCCGGTCAAGGAGCTTCTCAGCTCAGGGACCCTGGGTCCAAAGGATGCGCTAGTCTCCTAGCTCTTGTTTCTTGGTGGTAGGAGGTCCCCCTGTCTCTCTACTCACTTCTCTCTTTTATATCTCAAAAGAGATTGACTGAAAATACAATCTAATCTTGTAGATTGAGTCCTGCCTCATTAACATAACTGCCTCTATTCCTGCCTCATTCACATCATAGAGGTGGGATTTACAACACATAGGAAAGTCATATCAGATGACAAAATGGTGGACAATCATACAATACTGGGAATCATGGCCTAGCCAAGTTGACACACATTTTTTGGAGATACAATTCAATCCATAACACATGGCATATGCCTTCCCCGTGTGTGTGTGTCTGTGTCTGTTCTGCTTGTTTATAACTCAGAACTGGTTAGGTTTAGGACCCACCCTCCACTGGTATGACCTCATCAGCATGGCAAAAGGAAACCCCTATTCCCAAACAGGTACAGGCGCCAGGACTCCAATAACATATTTTAGAATTGCACAATTCAACCTATAACAGCCAGTTAGGAAGGGCTGGTGTATAGGCTGATGGTCACTGCCTCTCCTACATGGCCTTGAACGCCCTTAAAGCTCATGCCTCCCCTCCTTCCCCAATCCTGAGCGCTACAGAAAAATTGGCCGCAAGAGGGCAGCAGAGCACGCCACTCTGTGGCTCTGGGCTCAGATCCTGATGAACTTTTCCCTGAGGCTCAGACCGTGGTTTTCTCTGGTTCTGAACCGTTTTGGTCGTCTCTCTTTAGAGTCATAAGATTCCTGGGACCCTCTTCCTCCCTGAAAATGTTTACATTTTTAGTATTTCCAAATAGAGAAATATATCATAGCTAAAAGAGATTAACTTTAGTAAAACCTTATACCATTTGCCTTTTATTAGTTGAAACAGCAGCTAACGGTAACAGCATTATTACTGAGTGCTTATTAGGGGTCAGGCACTAGGGTAAGCCCTGTTCCTGAAATGATATTAATTCTAACCACCAAGAAGTAGGTATTATCCTTATTTATAGATGAGTAAACTAAAGCTTGGAAATGCTACGTCACACAGCTAAGAAATGGGAGAGCAGATTATGAACCCAGTCCTTATGTTGTGGATCCCTTTCTGTTTTCAATCTGGTCCTGCCTCCATGCTGGGATCTGCAGTCCCCCTTCCCGTGTCCCCCATGGGGAATGAACCACTGGCTTAAGGGTCACATCCGTGGCATTTTTGGGCCTGATAGAATTCAGAAAGTTGGGGTGGGGGGCAGGCCTCTCTTATCGGCTTGTAACTTGTTTCTGATACTCTTTATGTTTTAGCACACTAACGACTTTGCCCTGTACACAGAAGCCATCAAATTTTTTAATCACCCCGAAAGCATGGTTAGAATTGCTGTAAGAACCATAACCTTGAACGTCTACAAAGGTGAGTTTCCTCACGAGCTCGTGCCTCATCTGTGCTCGCTCTCCTGTGCCTCTGCATACATTTCTCCGGAGACGACTAGGGAGCTAGTTCATTATAAGCTGTGATTGCTTGTCTCATAGAAGGCTGGTAACCGTCGAGCATTTAGCTGGCCTTGCATAGGTTTTATACCACTGACTTCCATGTGTACACATGGTGATAGAAGTAGTGATGTCCTCAGAGAGGCACAAGTGGGATTCGGAGCAACCACATTACACGGTCAAACCTGTGAAAGCCGGAACCTGTGCAAGGCAGACGCCTGTCAGAGGAGGGCAACTCAAATATTTTCCATTAAAATGAATGATAGAAAAGTGGTAAGACTGCACCCTGTCAAAGGAGGAAAACTTGTGAGACCCGGAAAAAGAAGGCAGTCCCACTGAATTCCGGCTCTTGCAGGTTTCACTGTAGTTAGATAAAGCAAAAAAAATCAAACCGGTTGCTGTCGAGTTGATAAAGTTGCCTTTTAAATGTTAGATTTTGACTTTGTGTTTTGGCTTGTGAAATATACTTCAGTACAGCTAGGAGGTATTTATCTTTAAATAATATATAAAGGCAGTTTGTGTCACAAACAGCAGGGGGCAATACTGCATTCTCAACCAGCTGCAGAGCCCAGCACTAACAAATTCCTGCTGTCTTTCAAGAGGTGCTTAATCCCCAAAACATTGGCTGCAGGAGAAAATCCTTCAGATGCAAGTTTCCCAAGCAGGAGTTGTCCTCCATGGCATTGCCTTGAAAGTCCTCTGCCTGATGCTGGGGCTGTTTTCCCTGTAGTCACCACTCTAGCTAGGACTCTGTATTTTCAGGAATCAAAGGCCTTTGACTATGACATGTTTGGGTGTTACTACTTGAGGACCCCCACTGGGGGTGGGGGTTCACCCCAGCTGAGTTCTAGAATTGAATTAAATTTAAGAATCTTTCTCAGAACCCACCCAGAGGTCGCAAACTCGGGGCCTGATGGCCGAATATGGCCTTCAGCCATGTTTTAATTTGGCTTAGGTGGTTTTTTTGGGGAAAACAAAAAAAGTATAGTTGCCAGTATTTTTAAATTGGGAGATCTTGCATAAGAATCTGGATTTCCGACTTGAAAATGTGTAGATTTGGCTGCCCTGACCCCACAGCCCTGCAGGGCAGTGATCAGCTTGTGCTGAGCAGCTGCCCCCTCTGGGGTCCAGGCCCCGGCTCCCCAGTTCACACGCTGGGCCTGCCAGCTTCGTGCACTGAGTCCTCAGTCAATCCCGCAGGCTTCTGAGATTGCGACCGTGGTCCACACTGAGGTTCTGCTGCCTTCTGCTCTCTGTTTTCTCTTGTTCTCTCCTAACTTGAGTCTTTCTGTTTAGATGCCCCCGCCCTAGCTCCTATCCCTCTGAGAAGTGTCTCATCACCCCAGTTCCTAACCCTGTTAACTGTTGTCTGTTTTTGCCTCTCCTTCAATGACGATTCCTGTGTTCCTTATTCCAGTGTCATGTAAGTTATTAACCTCTGGTTTTCTGCTTTCTTAACTTATCCTTTTATGTAAATACAGGAAACTTGCTTGAGAACGGTCTAGTTTTTATCATAGACTCTTTAGTGCGCTATTAATGGTTAGTCCAATTAATGTATCTTAGTAATTATAAAAACAGCATCAGAACTGCCTTGATAAGTACAGTTTTATGAATAAGATAAACATTTTCAAGTATTTCCAGGAAAGACAGAAAAGATTCAGGCTGATAGTAAAGGGCTTTTTCTTTGTGGTTTTTTTTTTTTTTTTAAACTCCCCCAAGTTATTTTTGGTAGCTTGACTTTTTTTTTTCCCCTTCGTGAATTTTCTCAGTGGATAACCAGGCCATGCTGCACTATATCAGAGATAAAACTGCCGTTCCTTACTTCTCCAATTTGGTTTGGTTCATCGGGAGCCACGTGATCGAACTTGATAACTGTGTGCAGACGGATGAGGAGTAAGTGACCTTCCCTGGTTCTTAGTAGGTAGACACAGTGGTTAGGGGAGAATTTGGTTTTCAGTAAGGAAACATAAGCACTAGAACAAAACTTACTACCTGTGCATAGGCAGAGTATGGACTTCATACATTAAAAGGCTCTACCCACTGGTTTATAACAGTGGAAAGTTGGAAACAACTCAAGTGCCTCATAGAAGGGACGAGGGTCAATAAGTGTGGCACACCCATAAACGGTGTACACATTACTAAAACCAAACCAAACCAAACTCATTGCTGTCAAGTCGATTCTGACTCATAGTGACTGACCCCAGAGTGGAACTGCCCTCATAGGGTTTCCAAGGCTGTAATCTTTACGGAAGCAGATGGCCAAATCTATCTCCTGCGGAGCAGCTGGTGGGTTCAAACTGACCCATTACTAGGCAGCTGATAAAATGGTTAAGATGATCTGTTAACTGGGGAAAGGATTTAAAAAAAAAAAGTGGACTATCCATACGTGGACTATTATTCGTCAATAAAAAGGAGTAGAGTACTGACACCTGCTACAACATGGACGGAGCTTGCAAACATCCTGAGTGAAGGAAGCCAGACATAAAGGGCCACACATCGTATGATTCCATTTGTAGGAAATGCCCAAAATAGGAAAATCTATAGAGACAGAAAGATTAGTGGTTGCCTAGAGCTCGGGGGAGATTGTAGGGGGGGAAATGGGGAGCAGCTGCTAATGAGTATCATGTGTAATGAAAATGTTCTAAAATTGATTGTGGTGATGTTGCTCAACTCTGTGAAGATGTTGAAAGTCAATGAATTGTACACTCTAAATAGGTGGATTTTATGGTGTGTGAATTATATTGCAGTAAATTTTGTCTGTTAAAAAAAAGAAAGAAAAGAAAAGATTAAGATGGTGATTCTTGTCCCTAGAGTGATGAATAGAAACCCCAGGGCAAGATTTCTCAACCTCGGCACTATTCAGAATTGACTCAACGGCAGCGGAGTTGGGGTTTAATTCTGTGTTGTGGGGGGGCTGTCCTGTGCATTGTAGGATGTTTAGCAGCATCTTTGGCCTCTACCCACTAGATGCCAGTAGCAACCCCTCACCCCCAGTTGTGACAACCACAGCTAGCCCATTCATTGCCAGATGTCCCCTGGGAGGCAAACTGGCCCCCGTTGAGAACTCTTGCCCCAGTGTGAGAGCTTTGCATAGGCCTGGTGAGAGGACACCTGGATGGGTCAGCACGGTAAGGGGATCCAGGAAGGATGTCTCCTGGAGGTGGTAGTGGGGGCTAGATAGAGGATTAAATCTGATATTGGGAGAGAAGTAAGGAGAGGTAGATGGCAGATCTGACGGGGCATTTGGCAGAAATAAGGACGTGTGAGGATGTGGAAAATCCTGACTGTGGAACATCCTGAGGCACTTAGCTCCAGAAAAAACAAAAAGCCATACAAGGCAGGAAATGAAAACCTAGTTCCCTATTTGGGTCTATCAACACCAATTACTGATAACTGTTGGAGGAGTGCTGGTGGTGCAGTGGTTAAAGCGCTTGGCTGTGAACCAAAAGGTTAGTGATTTGAACCCATCCAGCGGTTCTGCAGGAGAAAGACCTGGAAATCTGCTCCCATACAAATGACAGCCTAGGAAACCCTATGGGGAAGTTATACTCTGTGACATGAGGTCCCTATGAGTCGAAAGTCGACTCGACAGCATCCAACAACAACCACCACGTTGGGGGAAAGTGTGCGGAGGGCACATGAAGAGTTCCTGTCATAGCAGGAGGTCAGTAGATCATGTAGCAAGTGGATCAGTCACAAAGTAGAAGTCCAGGCAGATTTTAGAGAAATAGGGGAGGAAGCTCCTGTGGAGACAACTATCAGAGGTAAAAACCGCCTCCTCTGAGAGTGGTTGGTGGGGAGGCGGGGCCAGGAGCTGCTGGTGTTCATTATCAGGGAATTAGTACTCCCAGATTTTTAAATCCATCTGCATATGTTACTCTGATAATTTTTAAAGTAATGGTATAAAAAAAATGAGGTGCATTAAATATCCTGATATAAAAAAGTTGCTCACAATATCTTATTAAGTGTGGAAGAAGTTGTAAAACATGATAAATGTTCTAGGTCTTGGGTAAGATGTGAGTTCATAGATATTTATTATATCGTTAGGCTTTATAACACGTGTTTGCTATGAATACTTACTAAACGTTTTAAAAATGTAATAGAGCAATAATTATCTAAAATTATGTAAAAGAAGCAAAATTAATCCAGTTTTTACTTTTTTTTTTTTTTTAAGTATATAGTTAAATGGATCACATGCATTTTATATGTGACTATAGGGAGAGAATATAAATATATAGAAACAAACTGTAAGGTCCTAAATACCGAGATGTTCTTAGTGGGTACCTGTTAGTGGTGGGATTATAGGAGGAGACTTCTTTCTTTGTTTTTACTTTTTATTCTTTCATTTTCTCTTTTCTAAAACCACCATCTCTTACTTTAGTAAGAGTAATAATAATACAGAGAAACCGTCTCACCTTCGCTAGATTGACCTTTGTGAGAGCTATGGTGTTGGGAGTGGTGCAGGTGTGACCACTGGCCATTTTGTGGTGTGAGATGGATTCCACCTGAGGGGCCCACCCAGCATGCCATTGCTGAGTTGCAAGGAGACAGAAACTTCTGGGGCAGGGACTGGACAGGGGGATGTCTTGTCCTTCCCTGTGCCCTACACGTGGTCGGGGCCAGTGGGAAGGATGCAGCTGCTAAGCCTGCTCTTCTCTTCCGGGGCATTTTAATTATCAAGGATTTATTGCTCCATTAATACTGCTTATCTTGGGAGCCCAGGAATCTTGCCACGTTGGCCAGTGGCTACTCTTGTGAAATGGCCTGCTGTGAGCCGTTTTGCTGCTTTTTGCTTTGTTTACCCCATTTGTTTTGAACTGAGGTAGTGCTGGTGGCGGGGTGAGTTGTACTGAGGCCTCCCTAGGGTGGGGGGCCCCAGGAGTCCCCTGAAATCAATTGTGGTGGACCTGCGCATTTTTTCTTTGTGTTTCCCACCAGTAGGGCCAGGGTAGCTGCTTTGAGACTGGCTCAAATACTGATTGCTTGAATGAATGCACCCCCAGTGGCCTGAGTCCCAGGCCATTGATTTTTGGCCTGAGTGTTCTGGGCTTTGGCTTCTGGCTGAGTTTGTTTCTCTCTGCAGGCACCGGAATCGAGGGAAACTGAGTGACCTGGTGGCTGAGCACCTGGACCACCTGCACTATCTCAATGACATCCTCATCATCAACTGTGAGTTCCTCAACGATGTGCTCACGGACCACCTCCTCAACAGGCTCTTCCTGCCCCTCTACGTGTACTCGCTGGAGAATCAGGACAAGGTGGGTCTGCACGGTGGGGCTGGGCCTCCTGCCCCTGTTGGCTCAGGCATCTTCAAAAGGGTAAAGTGTGTCCTGGGAAGAAGCACAGTCACCGTGAAGAAGACTGAGCTCTGCAGGGGACCAAGGCTTGGAGCCTGAGAAGTTCCTTTCAAAGCACACTGGGTTTCTTTTCCTCTTATTTCCTGTGTCAGTGAATGTGTGTGTATGAGAGAGAGTGTGTGAGAGTATGTGTGAGTGTGTGTGAGAGTGTGTGTGTGAGTGTGTGTGTGAGTGTGTGTGTGAGTATACATGTGTATGTGTGAGAGAGTGTGTGAATGTGTGTATGAGTGTGTGTGTGAGTATACGTGTGTATGTGTGAGAGAGTGTGTGAATGTGTGTATGAGTGTGTGTGAGAGTATGTGTGAGAGAGACTGTGTGTGTGTGTGTGTAGACTGTAAGTGAATGAGAGAAGGTGATTACTGACATCAGAAGGAAACAGGAAACCTTCATGAATTTAGGTCTTTGGTTTCCATGCATCCTTCCCTTGAGGTGTCTCCATCCCCGGTAACTTTTCCCGATGGTGGCCGGTGCTAATTGACCTGGAGAAGATGCAGACAGCGACCAGACTTGTTCAGCGGGATGGGAAGTGATGGCCACCTATACTTAGGAACATATGCAAGGCAGTGATTGTCCACCTTCAGCCAGCCTCGAGTCTTTCGGGGGTGTTCTGCAGACTCTCGGGTCCCGTCTTCCTCTCAGGGATCTGGTTTAGTAGGTCTGGGATGGGGCCAGAAACCTGCATATTTCACCTGCCCTGCAGGTAATTCTGAGCTGGTGGTTCTGGATCCCCCCAAGAGAAATGCCACTTCAGGGAGGGGAGCCTTCTGCCCAGTGTCTTCCAGGTGTGTGTGTGTGTGTGAGAGAGTGTGTGTGTTTATGAGTGTGTGTGTGTATGAGTGTGTGTGTGTGAGAGAGTGTATGTGTGAGAGTGTAAGAGTGTGAGTGTATGAAAGAGTGTATGTGTGAGTGTGAGTATGTATGTGAGTGTGTAAGTGTGTATGTGAGAGTATGAGTGTGTGTGTGCGTGAGAGAGAGCATGTGTGTGTGAGAGAGAGGAGGGCAGCGCAGACCCAGTGGCTTCCTCTCCAGGGGTTTGGTCCTCTGCTTCTGTTTCCCATGGGGGTATCGTTTTCCTTTTGGAGATGGAACCTGGGGATTCTCGCTAAAAATAAGTCAATAAAAGAGAACTGCAGCCCTTATTAGATGTACCAGTGGCAGCTCTTGGGGGATGTTGAAAAAGTAAGAGAACTGGAGTTCTCAAACCTGAGTTCAAGTCGTGCCTTCCCTTTCCTAACTGTGTGACCTTGGACAAGGCAGTTAACCTCTCTCAGCCTGTTTGAAACAGGGCTTGGAACCGGTTCATTCTGGTTCGAACCCCTGCTGAGAATTTACATTTCCACCCCCAGATACACTGAATCAGAATCTTTTAACAAGATCCCCAGGAGATTCTTACGTATAATAAAATTTGAGAACCGCTACTGTACTGGTGGTTCTCAGAATTGGTCCCTAACCAGCAGTATTAGCATCGCCTGGGAACTTGTTAGAAATGCAAATTCTCAGCAGGGCTTTGAACCTGAAGGAACTGGCTCGAAGCCCTGGTTTCAAAACAAGACTGCAAAACCCTGGTCCTACAGATCCCTCACAGGCTTGGTGTGAGCTGAGGCACATTGAAGCTCAGTGCAAATGAGACCAGAGTGACCCAAACCTTTCCTTGTCCTCATGTTCTGAAATCTTCCTGAGAACAGGCCCTCTGGGTGCTCCTGTGCCCCCCAGCTGGGGGAAATCAACATTCTTGATAATTTAAGGAGCAAGTTCTTCTCTTTGGCCCAGCCTTTAACCTGTGACTAAATAATGAGAGATTTCCCAAATGGAAAAGCAACGCCCTTGCAGACAGTGTTACGTGGAATTGGGTTGTGGGTTTAGTTTGCAGAGTGGACTTTTGCACCAGGGAAAGGGCAGCCCCAGGGTCACGGAGGAAGCTGGGGACAGGGAGCTCCCTTGGCTTCATCTGTTTTGTGTTGCTCACTTGTGTGACGTGGACCTCTCTCTCTTTCTCCCCAACCTTCTCCAGGGAGGAGAACGCCCGAAAATCAGCCTGCCAGTTTCTCTCTATCTTCTCTCCCAGGTATGCTGACCACACACCTGTGTCCCTGCCACACGTGGAGGGTCCTTAGAACACTGCTGCCTCTCAGAAACCTCCCAGGCCACATTGATCCGTTGTCTCTCCCTGTGTCCCCCAACTTGAAAGAAAATAACAATAAATAGAAAGGGGAATTCTAGGTTCTAGACACCAATACAGGTGGTATGTATCCTTGTCATGGGAGTGGGTAGACATATAAAGAGAAATGTAATGAAAAAGAAATCAAACCTGGCACTTAGGCAGTTGATTTTTACAGTGGGACGGAAGTTTCCAGAATGATGAGGGAGTGCACCAACTACGTACGTATCTTGGAGATGTGGGCTGCATGAGTCTTATTCACTCGTGAAAGAGACTTACTGAAATCAGCTCCACACTGCAGGACCCCATGTGTGCAGAGTGGTCAAACAGCAACTTGATTTAACACACGTCCTCTAATGAGGCTGTTTTTTAAGGCTTTTGTCATGGTTCTAGCTCCCACGTTGCCTCCTGGAAGGTATCTTGTAGGAACCTCAGCTCCCAGATCTGTGTCTTGAGCCTGTTTGTCTGCCTCCCCGCTTAAACAAGTGTGCATCCTTCTCGTAATTATGTAATATTTACAAGAAGGGAAAAACTCCATGGTGACCCAAGTTACATAACTATAAAAATATTTTTATTACGGGCAATCCAGCCTCTCGAGCCATCTCATTAGACTGTCAAGTAGTCGAATGTGTGAGCAGAGCTCTGTTTCCATTTCTGCAGTGGCATAGGGATTTATTTACTTTGCTCAGAGCAGGTCCTTCTAACTTGATCCCCTGGCTGTTTAGAGTTTCCGGTTGGCCTGAGGAGAGATTCCGACATGGTTCCTCCCAGTGGGTAGGCTGATCGGGATGCAGTGTGGCCTGGTCACTGTTCGCATCCCGAGCCTTGCCCTGGGAGCAGTGTTTTCTCTGTATGCCCCTCTGTGTGGCAGGGCTCAGCACAAACCCCAGCTTCTCCTGGCAGCCTTGTCTGCCGCCTCCTCCTGCTTGGGATTCTGGGAGTCTGGCACGACTGAGCAGGTCAGCTGCACGGCCACAGGAATCCCGTTGGAGCATCCTTAGGGCCTTTTCGGCTCTCGAGCATTGCAGGGGCAGGGGCTCCCTCACACCCCCATGCTTGCACTCAAAGGAGGGGGCCAGGCCGTTCTTTGAGACGCCTATCTCCTCTGTTTTCTTCATGAAAGACCAGAAGCTCAGGCACCTAGTTAATTGTTTCATTGTCTCCCCAAAAACATAGCTTGTAATTTGGTATTCCTCAAACTTGAGTGATAGACCCCCTTTAAATGTAAAAAATCTGCACCCCGCTCCGCATTCCCATTTAGTTTTATTGTAATGTTGCCTAAATGTATGAAAACAAAAAATCAGGTGTAAATGCCTTGTCCTTAAGGCCCCCACAGGCCCCCACATCACTATCAAATGTAACATGCATACAAATTATATTATAACCACAGCTATAAAACCAATAAAAGTCATATTAACAACATTAATAAACATTAAAACTGGCCTGCTGCAGCCACAAGAACAGGACAGGCATCGTGGCCCGAACACATTTCCACAGCCGCGCAGTCACCGTGCCCTCTCACCGCTGTTCCCCGCTCAGAGACCGTGTCCACAGGCATGAATCGCCTTTGTCTGCTGAGCCTTAGTAGGTGCTCATTGAATACTGTGGACTGAATAAAAGACAGGAGTAAGCGATCCGTGAAGGTAACATCCCTCCAAGGCGCACAGTAAATATTTGTGGAATGAGGGGAGTCCGTGATCTGGGGTTTGGTTTTGTGGTCAAGTGGAGTATGGCGGTAATTCCGACATGATGAAGGTGAGAGAAAGCGTCCTCCTCACGCTAGCTGACATCTGAGTGCCTGCCGCAGCCCCAAACGTGGGCCTCTTGTTTGATCACGTGATAGAGTCTCCCTGGGATTTTAAAAACAGGTGTGCTTTTTTCAGGTAGGTGCCACATTTGGCTGTTCTGCCTGCACCTTTTTGTTTAGTTTGAATTGTGTTTATTTTTTGAACATGTATTCACCCTATTCGCACAGTACAGAATGACATATATAGTGAAGAGTCTCCCCCTCGCCCGTCCCTAGGCACCCCGTCCCACTCCATAGAGGCAACTAGTGTTACCAGTTTCTGCCTTTACTTTCTTTAACAACAACAAAAAAAATTTTGTTTTAATAAAAAAATTTGAAAGCTTGGAGTTCAAAGAGGTGAAAGTCAAGTTTTCTTTCCACTCTTGGTCAGTCTGCTGGTTTCTGTCCCAAGACAGCTGTAGGTGGGGTTTCTTGGGTGTCTTTCCAGAGACATCCTATGCCAGTGCTTCTCATCCAGGGGCGGTTTTACCCGCCAGGGGACACTGGGCAATGTCTCTACAATTTTTGTTGACACAAATGAGGGAAGAGGTATTACTGGCAGCTAGTGGGTGGAGGCCAGAGTTGCTGCTGAACATCGTGCATTGCACAGGACAGCCCCCCACAATAGAGAATGATCCAGCCAGGATGTCAGTAATGCCAAGGTTGAGGAACCCTGTTCTGTGCGTATATAAACAAATACAAAGTTTACACACATATACACACCGTTTTCGTATACAAATGGTTTGATACCCCACACTGTTCTGCAGTTTGTTGCTTTTACATTTCAAAGCAGAGTAGCAGGTGTGTCTAAGCCAGCTCTGCTCGCTTGTTCTGAATGCCCTGATTCCTAAAGCTGTGTCTCTGGATGTTGTGCAATAGGCTGGTGGAGCAGGGCCATCCCACAGCCCAGTGCCTTCTGATTGTGCAGCCTGGCGTGACTGGGTCTGTCCGTAGTGGGTGGGGCTTTTCTGCCCCATGGTTTCCACACTTTTCACAGCTGCTGTGAGACCCAGTGTGCTGAACCCACCACAGAGGCTGGAGCCCATTCCACTGATGGCATCCGTGTAACCCACCCTCTGCCAAGTCCTTGACTGGAACAAGGCTGCCCACCCTTGTTCCCGCATAACTGAAGTTTGAGATGGTGCCTTCTGGTCTTAACCATAATTGAATTTGACACGAAAATGCTTGTGGAAAGGAAGGAGCGTGCTGGTTTGGTTGGTCCTCTCCCATCTTGCTCCATTTCAGCTGGTTTTGGCTTCAGCCAGCCATGAAGGATAGTCTCTCTTTAATGTGCTTCCTTCCGGTGCAGAGCAGCCAGCCAAATAAGTCTGAGGGAGGGACGGACCTCACAAGGGGAAAAGTGGCAACTATTTCTCCTAAATGTGGCCCGTTCTTTGGATTTTGTATTATGGTGATTGGTGCTTAATACAGGATATATGTAGCCCAGCTCTGTTGTTTCAGATCAAGGAAGGGAGAGGTTGAAAAACTGCACAGTTTAATGCAAGTCCCATTTCTTCTTTTTCACCAGGTCTTCCTAATTATACATCATGCACCCCTGGTAAACTCGTTAGCTGAGGTCATTCTGAACGGTGATCCATCTGAGATGCACGCTAAGACTGAGCAGGATGTTCAGAGAACTTCTGTAAGTTGTTAGCTTTGGCACTGTTTCTCAACCTTGAGAAGAAGCCCTCACTCATTTTGTTAATGTGTGTGTTTCTCTAAAATTAGAAATCATCACTCTGAGCATACAGCAATGATGGAACATCAGCTGGCCAGCCACGGAAAACCCTATGGAACACAGTTCTACTCTGACACACATGGGGTCACCAGGAGTGGGAATCGACTTGACTGGTTTTTAATCAGAGTCTTGAAGTTTGCACCCAGAAATATCTGGGATTAGGTATTAGTAGTGGATTTGATTGATCATATGTTGTTGAACATGGAATTGTGCCACTCTGGGCTTCAGATTGAGTATCTCTGAGACACTGATATTGGGACAGATTGAGAGAGTATGCGGGAAAGTATTTTGTAAACTCTATGGCACAAATATCTACAGGAGCTGGACAGGGAACATCTATGAATGAAGTAGACTTGTGTGAGACAGTAGGGAGTGGTGGGGACTGTGGCAAATTGGACTCATACACTTCTTCATTGTGCTGTTCCACCCTGGCCTGCACTTGCTTTGTACGAATGCGGATGCGGTATTGCCAGGTCTTCTCATGTTGCCAGAGAAGATGGAAATCAGCATTTTTATGTAAAATCTCCCAGTTTCTAAATTCTCACAGAACTGTGTTCTAAACAGAGCATGTTTGTGGTCTTCAGAAGCCTACAGGTTGCACTTTGTACATCGCTGATGGAAAACACTTGATGACCAATATGACGACTTCTCCAGAGACTGGCCCAGCTTGACCCCTGCATATCACTTCTGTTTCCCTCCTACCATCCCACATGGTGTCCTGAGCTACAGGCTACCTTAATACTGATCCAGCCCCCTGTGTTTCTGCCTCCATACCTGGGCCCTTACCATACCCACAGCCTGGTTTTCTCTCGTCCAGGATCTTTCTCACTCTGAGCCCCTCATGACAGGTATCTTGTCTGTCATGTATCTGCTGTAGTATGGGCTCAGCATACGTGTTTGAGGTGAGCATAGCGTGTTTACACAAAGGCTGGTTTCACGAGTGTTCTGTTTCTGCAGCCACGTTCTCTGGCAGTACCCATACAGGTAAAACAGCCAGGCTCGCCTGGGGCAGTCAGCTCTGTTCCCATGTCTGTAGAAGCGGGTGGAATGTGATCCTGCTGCCTGAGAGGCCTGGACCGCATGGAGTACAGTTACCAGATGCCCCTGCCCTTCTCGTTTTTCAGCGTATAATGGTTTGGGCGGGCCGTTTTGCTATTCAGGGGAGCATTAGAGTCCCTGTAAAGGTTCCCAGAAACTTTCTGTCCTTGGTGGTGGTGGCGTTGGTTCAGCTGAATTGAGTGGGGCCTTTTCATGGCCCTTGTCTAGCCTATCCCTTTATTGATTCATTCAACAAGTGTTTCTTAAGCTCTTTCTTTGGGCCAGGCATTGTGCTGGTTCTGGGGATCTACAAAAATATAAAAAGTCTCTTTGTCGCGATGGAGCTTTCCAGTCTAGTAGGAGAGAGAATCATTGATCAGATATACAAATAAAGGGAGGATGTAGTGTTTGGTGAGGGGATTTCACCTGTGGGTGGCCAGGGGGCAGTGGCAAGTGTTGTCCAGGAAAGACTTCCACTGTGGTCTGTCCCATGGCAAGGCTCGGTCTGGAAAATACGCGGTTGATTCAGTGTTTATGTGGCTGGAGATATTTCTCTGCAACTTTCTTAAACTAGCTTTTGCTGAATAAGTGTGAAGGATGGAATGTCTACTCAGCAGAATCACCAAGTCTTCCAGCCACAGCCACCAAGCACCCTGCCTGCTGGGTGACCTTGGGCATGTTATTTCACCCATTTGTAACATAGAGAGTAAGCCCTACTCAGAGGGCTGTTGGTGAGGATGGGAAGAAAATATATTTAAAGTGCCTAGCAAGGACCTGACAGGCAGCAACCTGGCCCTCAGACCTGTTAGGTTTGGTCCTCACAGTGCATGAAAGTAAATTACATGAATTGTAGACATTTAAAATTTAGGAAGTTTAACATGAGAGTCAGAATTTCTGAATTCTCTTGAACAGTTGGAAGTTCTGGTCCACATTGTGCACAGGATTCTGCAGGTAGCTTTGCAGAGGCAGCCTTCTTCAGCCAAGGCATGTGCTTATTGTTAAATTTACTCTGTCTCCCCAGCCCACTAATTTACACTGTTGTTGTTGGATGCTGTTGAGCCAGTTTGACTCGTAGTGACCCTATGTCACAGAGTAGAACTGCCCAGTAATCTAGGCTGTAATCTTTACGGAAGCAGATTGCCACATCTTTCTCCACAGAGCCTCTGAGTGGGTTCGAACCACTAACCTTTTGGTTAGCAGCCAAGCGCTTAACTGTTGCACCACCAGGCTCCTTACACTGTGTTTACATCAATAAAAATTTATGGAGGCGAGGCCAAGATGACGAAGTAGTTAGATGCTTCCGGTGGTCCCTCTTACAACAAAGACCCAAAAAAACAAGTGAATTGATTCTATATGACAGTCTAGGAACCCTGAACATCAAAGGCAAAATTGAGGAATTGGACTGAGTGGCAGGGGGAGGGAGAGACTGTTTGGAAGCAGCGAGGAGTTGCCAACCTGACCTTGCGGGAGCCAGTACCCTTCAGGCCAGATCCACTAGCGTGCGCGGTGAGGCAAGAAATGGCTCTCCGAAGGCATTTTCCACATTGGGAGAGACACAGCAGCAGAGAGTCTACTCAGATATCCAGAACCAGTGAAAAGCCGTGCTCAACTGGCACAAGATAAGTGCTCGTGTCTGGCCTACCGCGCAGATCAAAAACACCCCTTTTGGGAAAAACCTCACTCCCATTTACCTTCCCCCCCCCACTCTGCACCGGGTCCTGGCCTGGGCTTCAGCGATTGCTGAGTCTCCTGGGCCAGAAGTAGGACCCGTCATGCACCCTGAGCCATTCTCCTGGCCTTGGGGATGGAACAAATTAACAAACAGGGAAAAAATAATCTGCTGTCTTCCCTAAACTAGGAGTTCAGGGTAGGCACAGCTCCCTTGCCTAGGCACGGGCATAAAGGGTCCACAGACTTTGAATGCCTTTCACCCCCACATAGATCTGTGTGGGCCCATGTCAACAGCGTAGGCCCTCATTACCACAGTACAACAGGGTATATACCTAAAGTCTAACTTCGGTGGTTTCAGCTATATGGTGAAGTGTGAGGTTTGTGACATTTGACACTGTTGTGCCCATTAAGCAGGGTCCTTACCTACCCACATCAGGGGCCAGAGGACTAGTGGCTCTACCTGCACCACCTAGCCACCTGAAACAGGGGTCCAGGAATAGGTGGTGCACCCAGTCCTTACAGCCAACAACATTGGGTGCCCACAGGCTGGCTGGAAAACCCACCCACCTGCATGCTCTAGAGAACAGGGACATGCTTTCCTCCCAGACACTTGGGCAGCCATCAGCACCCTGCCTTGCTCAGCTCATGACCCCCTACTGCAGCCAGATACTTGTGCCTACACCAATTACCCCTGCCTGTCTAGGACTGTAGGTGAGAGCCTGCACCACACACTTGGTGACCGACTACCTGGACACCTGAGCTGAATCCACACAAGAAAGGTAAACAGACTCCTGGGCTCACATACCTAGTAACAGATCTAACTACCTGGTGACAGGATGTTAGAGCTTCAAAGGCGCCAAAAATCAAACTAGCTTGCATGAGCAGCCTGTTTATGCATATCAAAACAAAACAAGAAGCTAAGGGAACATAAGATAAATAAATACAATAACTTACTGATGGCTCGGAGACAACAGTCAATATCAAATTACATAAAGAGACAGACCATGATGGCTTCAGCAAGCTCTCAAAACAAAGAATCAAGAAATTTTCCGGAGGAAGAGAACTTCTTGGAATTACCAGAGGTAGAATACAAAAGATTAATATACAAAACTCTTCAGTATATCAGGAAGGAGATCAGGCAAAACACCAGACCAAGCCAAGGAACATAAAGACAAAGCAATAGAGGAACTTAAGAAGATTAGAGAAGAGCACAGTGACAAATTTAACAGGCTGCAAGAATCCATAGGGAGATGGCAAACGGAAATCCAGAGAATTAACAATAAAATTTCAGAATTATACAACTCGATAGAAAATTGTAAGAGCATAATTGAGGCAATGAAAGTTAGAATTAGTGAGATTGAAGATAAAGCACTTGACACCAACTTATTTGAGGAAAAATCAGGTAGAAGAATTTAAAAAAATGAAGAAACCCTAAGAATTTTGTGCAACTCTGTCAAGAGAGATAACCTATGAGTGACTGGAGTACCAGAACAGGGAGGGATAACAGAAAATACAGAGAGAATTGTTGAAGATTTTTTGGCAGAAAACTTCCCTGATATCATGGAAAATGAGAAGATACCTATCCAAGATGCTCATCAAACCCCGCATAAGGTAGATCCCAAAAGAAAGTCACCAAGACATATAATCAAACTTGCCAAAACCAAAGATAAAGAGAGAATTTTAAGAGTGGCTAGGGGTAAACGAAAAGTCACCTGCAAAGGAGAGACAATAAGACTAAGTTTGGACTGCTCAGCAGAAACCATGCAGGCAAGAAGGCAATGGGATGACATATATAAAGACTTGAAGAAAAAAAAACTGCCAGCCAAGAATTATATACCCAGCAAAACTGTCTCTCAAATATGATGGTGAAATTAGGACATTTCCAGAATAAAAATTTGTGATGTATTGGGTCCCTTTCAACTGTCTTTTGTGGCATGATTTCTCAAGAGCACCAGATAGCTCCTAAGAATGTCAAAGAATGTCTTGCTGTATGACACTTAAGCGCTGAAGTTAGACTTGGTGTTCCAAGCAGTAAACCCAGATATCATTGGGGCTCTGGGGTTTGCAATTTTTTTCCCCTCAGTTCATTTTTTTCCCCTAAATTTTATTTATTTTGTTGTTGTTGAGAATATATACAGCAAAATATACACCTATTCAACAGTTTCTACATGTACAGTTTAGTGACATTGATTACT